TTCTTTATCTCTTCAACATAAATTTCGGTATTACATCTTCCTGTGGACTGTTTCCTTGCGAACTAGTACGCTAAAAAATCGACTCAGCATGTCGGTCTTGTACAATGCAGGATTAATATTAATATCGTAACATGCTTTCGACCCGAATATGCATATTATTCGCCGCTGAATCCTCCTCCTCCTCCTCCTCCTTCTCATCATCATCATCATCATCTAGTTTGCCAATCTGTGTTACCATGAATTATCATCGATGTGGTCATATTTATATACAAAATCAACTGTTTCAAAATTGCACTAGAATGGCGTATAATGCATTCATCCCTTGATTTTAATAGTTTGAATAACTAAGAATTTTCTATGTAGACGAAACACAATTCTTGTATATTTGATGGGTTACTTCCTTTGATATTCAATAATACTTTTTTCTTTGTATCGGAAATTTTGAAATAATAAAAGAGTAACGAGACGTGTTTATATCTGACCAAAGGATTAAACGAATCACTTATTTGATAATGTTTAAAGTTATTATAATACTGCAATTTTTAGAGGAGATATGATTTATTGATTGTTGTTTTCTGAACGTAAAGTGGCAAATATTTCATGCAGATTTATGACCGATAAAAATATATATAAACAAAACCATGACGAGAGACACGCGACAAAAAAGCAAACAGCAAAATATAAAATATAAAAACATTTTCCATAAATTTTTTATTCATAGTAGGCAACCCTCTTTGTTGGTCGGTTGTAGCATATTAATCTCACCGACTTAAATTTTAAAAAGAGACCACCAAAAAAGACCAATTAAACAGCTTCTCCTTGTTGATACTCTTATTCTAGTAGTATTATGCATCCTATTCCGCTTGAATATCAGATATTTATTTGAAATAACCCAAGATATATGAGGTGGTTTATAGAATAGAAATAATAACCCCGACCTCCCCCTCCCCCCCCCCCCCCCCCAAAAAAAAGGCAATCAAATAAGGAATAGAAAATAATGGGTGGTAAAATGTATTTTTAAAAATAATTGTATAAAAATTAAGGATAAGGTAAAAAAAAAAACTGTTTTCAGAAATAAACGATTTACAGAATAATGAAACTTTGCGTTTTCTGCATATCAAATTTATTATTGATAATTGACAATAGAATAGTAGATTATTTGGAATAAAATGTTGAACTGGTCGTAATCGGAACTGGTAATTGAAATTAGCGATGCAAATTCTATACATTCATAATCCTCGGTTTTTTTTCTCCAAAATCACGATCTTGCACGAGTTAACTTATCATTTCGTCTCCTATCCAATTGCAGACAAAGTTTACCTTTAGTTACATCCTTCTCCTGCAATGTGTCACAATGATTACATTTTACACCACTGATAAAACAGTTCGTGACAGAGGTCAGACCAGGATAACCATTGACAACAAAAAGCTCTGCAATAGTGTTTTGAATTTATCTTCATCATTTACGCCCAGCGCCGAATATTTTAAAGCCAATGATGTAAAAGAACAGAAAGAGTTGATGCGCTATCTGACCATAAGGACATAAATAAAATAGCCAAATCAGTCGAAGATTAACTTTGCCCGATAGAGCTGAAACTTTAGCTTCTTTATAATTTCAAAATTTATAAATAGACAATTGAAGGGAATTGAAGGAATTGCAGAATCAGAACGCTGTCATAATTCCTACGTCTTCAGTTTCATGTTTGTAAGATCAATAACTCATTATAATTCAAACAACAATTTATTGGTTAGGGCTGGAAGATTGATGCTTGAGGACGGATGACATTGTTTTAGAATTTTTGGGGATAATATTTTTTTTGAGTACCAATAAATGTTAAGTATTTAAGAATTGAATGCTTCTTTTTGTAAATTTATTGGGGTGTAAAAGCGTTGACCGAAGTACATTTTGTATAAAGCGCGTAAGCGCTTCGTTTTAAAAATGTGCGTACGGTCAACGCTTTTACACCCTATAAAAACTACTAAAAGAAGCAATCAATACTTATAATTACATTTTTTTGCTTGGATCATCAAAACACGATTTCTATCAAGTTTTTCTTTTATTTACCTGTGCACTTTATTGTGGAAGCTCGTGTCATCATGAATGTTACATTTCATTTTGAAATGAAGGTTAATTTCAGAATGACGCGAGATTGCTGTTAGCCAATCAAAATAACGTATTATAATGAAACATACATACATGTAATGTAATTATATTTTAATATTCTCCAAAACAATTGATTGATAGGAAATGTTTTTATATTTTGTTGGACAGTTGGGTAATCAAGAATAAAATCTAGTTCTGGTGATCGAATTTTTATTCTATCAGATTTCAGATTACTCTTAATGTCGGTTAACTGCCGGTACTGTCTCTGTTATAAAACTGAATGTTCTGCTTCTCAGTACTAGTACGTCATATCACAAACCAAATATACTATGATCAAATATACCTCATGTCATCTTAACCCCTGTTTATTATCCCAGATATCCAAATTATTACGAAGAAATTAAAATAGTTTTTTTTCTCCCCCTTTGATTTTAATCAGATATTAATCAAAATTGATAAATGGTATCATTTGTGCAGTTCATTGACAGATTCCAAAAAAAGGGGTGTACGGGGTAATGTCGTCATACGTATGTCGTTGATACAAACAAGAAGATCTGTCATGTCAAAATTGTGATACAACAGGAAATTTAATTTCATATGCAGGAACTGAACACAGGAATTTTACAGAATAAGCATATTTCTTACTGAATAGAGAAAAATGGCCAAAAGAATTGCAAAATACAGAAATGTAGACCCCCTCCCCTAATCCAGACCGTCATATATCATTGTGACGGATAGCTTTGTTTGATCTATTTAACTGTATTTATTTTCGAAAAGAATATTTGTACATAGTGTTTTTAATAAATGTAACGGACAATATATACCACGCCCTCTCAGCCGACGTCGTAATTTCATTTTAATGAAAGAAAGTAATTAAAAGCTTCTCTCCCTGTGCAACATGATATAAAACTCATTAGGCAGACCAATTTTTATGGCTACTTGCATAATTGTTACATCGTATTAAATTCGGTATCAAACTTATATTAATAATAAAAGTTTCATATCTTGAATATTGAAAACGGGTTAAAATTATTTACTTGCATATATTAATATTGATATAAATCCGGTTCGGGTTTTTTTTCTAGATCTGAGATAAAAGCAACTCTGTTACACTTAAACAATTGATTAATAAGAATTGTTACATGGTGTCTTCTTATGTCGCCTGAATTACAATGTATGTTATTGGTCTGTAATTTATATATTCGCTATCCGTGATAATTATCTAATATGTTTATTTGGCATGCCATACTCGATAAAAGTGCGGACGTGATAGAAAGCACTCTTTACCAAAACGTCAACGGAGATTACATTCCACGGAGGTTACATTTTGATGATTTCATCATTTATAAAGCATAATATGTGTATCTGAAGATAGAAGTTGTACTAAAATTTAATGTTGACACCGATATCGATCTGTTGGATGTAGAATTTATTTTCAAAATTGGTGTTTGTTTAGAATAGACCATTCCACGGAGATTACATGCTTAACAAATCTCTGCAGTTTTCAACTTTTTTTAGTTTTTCAGACTGATATTCATTTGGAATAAATGACCATTGTTATAAACAAAATTATTTATGGTAACCTTATAATCAAATTTAACTCATATCACACTCTATGTTGTGCTGAATATTTTGTCCTGCTTGATCTTTTATCCGTTAACGGAAATTACAGGTTTACGAAGAAAACATTTCGACGGCCGGTACGATCACTATCGTGGTGCAATATGTACTAAACTTTGTAAAAATTTAAAATATAGATAATAAAGAAATATAAAAATCTCAGAAATAAGTATAACAAGCTACGGGTATATAATTCGAAGTCGTTAGTTTTGCTTTATTACGGTGGGACAAATTAACGTCATAAAATGGGCGCTTTAACGGAGAACCAGTGTTTACGGCCTGCAACGCGATGACGTTACGATCATTTCGACGTTTTGTGGAACACCTTTGAATGATGTACCTATACCGTAAAAACGAAGTCGGTGACCCTATAATTATTTTTTGTATCAATAGCATATAGTTTTTTTTATATATAATTGAATATTAAATATAATATTAAATATCTTAGAATTGAGATGATTATATTCATATTTATATATGATTATCAAAATTATTGTGTCAATTATCTAAATCATTGTAATAAATTACTTTGCTCTTCATGGGCCCTTTAATTGGAATAAAAATATCTTATCTTATCTCATCTTATAGTTTTTCAAGAAAAATCTATGTAATAGAAATTAGAGATTTGATGATTTTAAGACAAATCTAAGAAGGTTTTTCGCCGATATTATATGCTTTCTATACAAATGTTCGCCTATTTTGAAAAAAATTCAATCAGTAATATTTCAGATGATAGAAGAGATGCGTTATTTTTTTCGATTTTCAGTTATAGTCAAACGAGCCAAAGTTGTATGCAAAATTTTAGCAAAATCTGTGACATAGCCCATTTACTGTAACTTGACAGTAACTATTACGAAACTGGCTGCAATATATGACTACTTATTTATATAACAATGCATTCAAGTGTACATTGCAGAGGACTTACATCTTTATATCTTAAACTTACAGTACACGAAATAAAAGGATTGAACTTGCTATTTTTCATTTTACTTGAAAGCCCTTCGTAATGCATGTTTAATATGAAGTACGTGAAAAAGGAGCACTTCAACGAGGAAAGGAGCACAATTGATATTTACATGAAAGCCGACTGTCTCAAGGCTGAAAACAGATCAAACGTAACTACGTATATGTTACTATTCAATAAAAAAAACTGTTTATCTTTTATTGTGTTGCTAACTCGTGACCTTTTAATCTATTATCATAATATTTTAAGTCACATAAGTTATTGTAAACAATATTCTTATAAGAATGAAATATTGATATATTTCTGTAGAACACGTGTATATTGGTTGCTACTATGATGATATGCTGTCTGGTCCTAAGGATATACATCCATTTGATACGACTGTCAACAAATGTCTGGAGGTTTGCAATACGAATGGTTATGTATATGCTGGCATACAGGTGAAAATTAGACTCTTAATGAGGGCAAGGGCAATTTTTTTTGTTAAGTCCTTCAATATAATTTTACAAAAAATCACAAAACTTCATGTTTAAATTACATTATAATTAAGTAAATAATATAGGCTCCTTTATATTCAAATTCCAGTATATTTGAAACACTTTCTTACTTAACCATATGAGTAAATAAAAGAAAAAAGGGGGAACTCTTTAGTTTAAATATATATTCAGAAAAGCCATCTCCTTATTTTACATGTAATTTACATTGTTTTGGGTTTTTTTTTCTGACATCTCGAAAACTGTTTCTTACATTATGTTTGTATATGTAAAAACTGTAACAACCAGGTGGCTGATTCGTCAGATAATATTTATATTTCAGTTTGTTAGGTGTGTTTGTGGAAAAGAAGATGAACTTGATTCCTCGTTGAAAGTAGAAGATTCACGATGTGATAAACGTTGTAACGACAACTCACAAAGTAGATGTGGTGGTCCATTGATTATGGCCGTATATCATATACTGGGTATTATTATTATATGTTATCTCATTTTTACATCGCGATGACCGTGAGGGCATTCCGATGTATTGTTGCCACAGAGATTTCTACTCACGTAACTTTCGTTTTCAGTGGCGGATTTACCGGGGGCACAGGGGGTACGTGCCCCCCCCAGTCGGGGTCACCAAAAAATTTACTAACATAGTTTTATTGCTACTGTATCTGTTTATGTAGATATCTAGATCTAAAATCAAGACACAGCTTGATTTGACTTCCTAAAGTGGTCGTTAATTAACCCCAGCTTCAACATGCGTGATTTATGACAACTTATCGATGGGTGTGTAAATATTGACACCTTTGTGTAATGTCTATATCCAAAATCATTTATGTAAACTACATGTACATCTACATGCTGATTGGAATTAATACGAATATATTTATTGATTTCTAATACAATATTACAGGATCAAGATCGATTAACAAGAGAAATCTTCTGATCAGGAAAGAAATTACCAACTAAAATCGGTCTGAAAAGAATATGTAAAAATAGATGTTTAGTGTCAGAAATGTTAGTATCGATATGAGATATGTCTTTATTACCAAACACTCACATTGTATACGGTTCCTGGGGAATGCGTCTTTCTCAGAACAGTCTTTTTCGGACTTTATTAAACAACAAACGATTTTTTTCAATGCATACAGCATTTTTTTAAACTGAATGTCGAGTTTTTTCCCCTTATTTTTTTATGGAAACCAATGATTTGTCTTTAAAAAACCTTCCCCCTCCACAAAACATGAATGGTCTGTGCCTTTATATATATACAAGGAATTGTTTAAATATACAATTCCTTGATATATATCATTAATAAAATGATATTGTATTTTTAGAAAACCTATACTCATATTTGAGATTAAGAACAGCAATAAAAGCGCTGTTCCTTTGCTTATTGTGTGTTTTTTTGCTGTGCGTGTACTGATTTTGTGTCGTGGATGGATACCCCATATCCTTTCTTTTTCTATTATAGTACAGTTATATGTGTATACACATTTTTTTCTTGTTTTAATTACCATGTATGAGGGTATGAATAGGTTACCATGAATGAGGGTATGAATGGTTTACCGTGAATGAGGGTATGAATGGGGTTTACAGATTAGAGAATAATGGTCAAAAAGTAAAGACTAGAAAAAAATGTGCCAAAAAAATATAGAAAACAGATTAAAGGTGTGATGAACTATAAAGAATAGAGAACAATTGGCAGCAAATAAAAGAGTAGAAAGAAATGGATCCAAAAATAATGAAAAGATATAGAAATGAAGACCTGAAAACTCCCACCCCCCCCCCCCCCCCCCCCACCCCACCCCCCCCCCCCCCCACCCCCTCCACGATCACCATCATCCCCAATACATGACACCACCACTACCCACACTCGCATATATACATGTCTAAACAAATCTTTAATTTTGGTTTCATGGTGCCCCCCCCCCCCCCAAACTTCGAGGTTCTGGATCCGCCCCTGCGTTTTTGACTGGTAACCGATCTATAAATACGCGAACATTATCGAGTGCAAAATAACATTCCTTATCGCTGGTTATAAATTCATTTCTTCAATGAATACTCATAAAAATATTTTTTTTAGAACATAAATTAATAATATGAAAATGTTTTGTCGTTAGAAATGTATATAAGTAAAATAATCATTAATATCTATGCACACATACAGAAAAATTGTGTTAACGCATGCGGAAGAATATCTCAAGAACGTTTTGCGGGAAAATATGAATGCCTATTCAATTCCAATCTATTAGAAAAATCGAATTATTACAGAAGAGTGTCCATGCACCATGCACTTGCACTGCACTATTATTAGAATAGTAGAATAGAATGATATACAAATGGATGAAAATCATATATACATGTAAACTTATTTCAAACGGGATTGCACATCCTCATTTTTACAGCAATATTGTTTACCGTGCCCGGAAATTCAGAAACGATCCTGGTAAACTTATCGATCCTTTAAATAAACTTATTCTAAAAGGTTACCAATTCAACACTGTAAATAGATCATTAAATATTGTTTTTATTGGTACTAATATTGATTTTGTTATCAGTAAATTTAAAGCAAACTAGATATTATTGTTGTATTTTATACACATTCATGGATCTACAATCTGTCGATACCTGTATCTTGGCATTGCACAAGGTCATGTTTTTCTCTAACTGTTTATGACGTCTTTACACTAAATCCATTAGATGTTGGATGTGTACGGATTGATAATTAAGTCTTAGATGCATGATTTTTTTTATTAGTTGTTAGCAGCTTTGAACTAGCTGTCAGTAACTGCGAGTACTCTCAGATCTGTACTTAGTGTCTTTTTGTTGTTTGAATGTACTAGTACCCGGCCACGTCCACTTGTATTTGTAGTATTTGTATTTTTATCCATCTGATGAGTTAAGCCTCTTTCAACTGATTTTTATAGTTCGTTCTTATGTTGTACTGTTACACCACTGTCCCAGGTTAGGGAGAGGGTTGGGATCCCGCTTACATGTTTAACCCCGCCACATTCTGTATGTATGTGCCTGTCCCAAGTCAGGAGCCTGTAATTCAGTGGTTGTCGTTTGTTTATGTGTTACATATTTGTTTTTCGTTCATTTTTTGTACATAAATTAGGCCGTTAGTTTTCTTGTTTGAATTGTTTTACATTGTTATTTCGGGGCCTTTTATAGCTGACTGTGCGGTATAGGCTTTGCTCATTGTTGAAGGCCGTACGGTGACCTATAGTTGTTCATTTCTGTGTCATTTGGTCTCTTGTGGAGAGTTGTCTCATTGGCAATATCATACCACATCTTCCTTTTTATATGTAACTGTTATATACAAATATTAATATAAAATATAACAACAAACCAAAGTATACTGATTTGTATCACTACAATATAATACTTAGGCCACACCAATTTGATTTTTAGTTCCGTTCGGACAAAAGCTCCAAAAAATATGGGGCGAGCGAGCGAAATTTTTTTGATTGTATTTATTTCTTGAAAATGAGTTTTGTTGAGGCGGGTGCTCTACAAGTGGAGCGAGCGGTATAATTTTCTTTTTAAATTGTGCGATTTAGAATATTTGTACATGTTAAAACTGGGTTACTTCAAAGAAAAAGGAGGATAAACATGCTCTTATGCATATAATTTGATGTATTTGTGCCTGTAGTACAGTCTGTTCCATACCCAACTTTTGGGTTCGCTTTGGTTTAGTATAATTTTGATTATTTTCTTCAAATAAGCTTTGACTGCGTGAATTTTCATTTAAATTCATACATGTGTATATATTAAGGAAGCATATCAGATGCAGTTTAGCAAGAGGAATTATGTTAGTTAGGTAAATGAAATGTGTTGAATACAATTAAAATATGTGTATGTATTCCAAAAAAAATGCCCTTGAAAAATATTAAATATCTTTTGATATAGTTGTTTTCATTATATGGTAATGATTGTTTATTGGCTGCTTGACATCCAGTTGGAACTATTTATCCATTATAGGATCAACATAATGAGTGAGGTGAATATTTCAACAACATCCGAGTAAGATAATTATATTGCTATGCATGTAGATCTCAATGTATTAAAACATTTAATCCCGCTGCAAATATTTGCACCTGTCCTAAGTCAGGAATCAGATGTACAGTAGTTGTCGTCTGTTTATGTAGTTCAAACGTGTTTCTCGTTTCTCGTTTTTATATAGATTAGACCGCTGGTTTTCCCGTTTGAATGGTTTTACACTAGTAATTTTTGGGGCCCTTTATAGCTTGCTGTTCGGTGTGAGCCAAGGCTCCGTGTTGAAGGCCGTACCTTGACCTATAATGGTTTACTTTTATAAATTGTTACTTGGATGGAGAGTTGTCTCATTGGCACTCATACCACATCTTCCTATATCTATTCCCTTAAAATACATTTAACCACATTCACATGCATTATTCTGACTTAGCAAAATACTTTTTCCTTTTGCCCCTGAAACCTGCAATGGATTTCAAACTGGAAGGGGTTGCACCAATAACACATCCCTAATTATTATTAGCATGCCAATCCCAATACCACCACTTTGGTCTCGAATGTTGGAACTCTTAAATTTTCCCTTACAAAAGAGTTCTGATCATGTCAATAGACTAACAAGGGGATATGGGGTTTTCATTAAAATAAGATAAATCTTGTCATTTTTCAAAAATTCATGTGAATTTAATATTAATTTCATCGAAGACAGATAGCTCTAGATATCTTTGTCTGTTGTAGTCCGAGATTACTCTGACGTCCAGCGGCTGTTTTGCCAGACAAGTTGGGGCCGTGGGACAACAGCCCCCCATCTTGTCTGGCAAACAGCTGTTGGACGTCGGAGTAATCTCGGACTATGTCTGTTGAAACAATGATCGGGGATGACAATGGTTCTAACAAGTACTGATGTGATCGTGGTCATCTAACGAAAGAATTTTTATTTTTGTCTCCTAGAACAGGTAAAACGAAATGCATTTCAAATAACTGTGTGTTTAATAACTACGTGTCCTCGGCAATGATCTGACACAACTTCATGTTGGCATCCCGATTTGTGACCTTTTATTTACAAATCGATTTATCACACGTGCGTTTGAATCGCTCGGAGCAATATATGCACGAGAAAAACGTCTAAGAGAAAACAAAATGTCAAGGATAAACTAATTTTGGAGCGGCATGCGGCCCAAAAATTGGCGGAAGCGGTAATTATTTTTTTATTATTGAAAAGTCAATTTCTCCAAAACAGGAGCGGGAAAATCCAAAGAACTATTAATCAAATTGGTGTGGCCTTATTACGGTGATGTTGAATTCCCTGTCATATATTCATCATCCACGCACGAACTTGTCTCAGAAAAAATATATCTCTGTACTTTAACTTCACTTTCAGGTATAGAGATGTGATTTTTTTTTCTGAGACAAGTGCTTGTGACCATCCACAAGAACTTGCGGTTATCCGATGTTCAGTACTTCAGTACTTTGATTACTA